TGAAATCATTAAAACAAAAATTAAGTAATATCTTATAATTTTTTATATTGAATATAACTATAAATAATATAGCTATGTATTTTTGAAATACAATAAAAGAAAAATGTTAGAGCACAACTTATCAAAAATATTAAAGTATATTCATTTTGTAAATTAGTCTTTGTTAAAAAATATTTTTGCGCCTTTAAGTGCGAGTCAGTATGTAGTATATTTTATAACAAATATGTTATATAAAAAATTCAGAGTAAACTCCAAAGTCTTTTTATGAAACTTATATTTTTATATTCTAACATTTAAAGCATTATCAAGTAGTGGATAATGTTATAACTGAAAGAATTGAAACTCTGATCAGGATCAGCAAAACAATGTATTATCAAATAACACCGATATCTTAACATCATTTGGTTATAAGTTAGTATATTGAGCTGCGTAATAATATTTTATTATATAAAGTAAAGTTTTTTCTCATATGAGAGTGTCATGTCGCTAATTCATATCTTCTCAATATGACATGTCATTGTTCTTGGTTATTCTTTTGACTTTTCGTTTGTTCGTCGATTCATCTTTAATTAAAGATTTTTGTTGCATCAATTAATAAATCCTATTTTTCTACCTATTTACTGCAATTTTACTTCAATATGTGTCTCTAACAAATATTATATATAGCGTTTGGTTAATCAAAAATATCTGAGAAATCTTTACATCTAGCGTTATTATTTTCACCGAGGCTTCTTTAAAAGATACCTAAGATACTTTTGATTAACCAAAACGTCTTTGACATCAATTAATGATGAACAATGTGAATTGCAACTGAAGATTATATAAAGAAATTGTATTGTGGCCTCAAGCGCCGCCAACTCAATTGTACGCAAGAGAAACCAAAACGATTTCTGACAGGAAGAGAGCCACTGCGAATGGTCGACATAACCCAATGATCGAATATAAAGAAATGTATAAAATACCTTACAATGGTTGTTCTTCTTAAGTTACGTATTTAATATTTATTAACAAAAACAAATTAAATAATATATTTTCATTAAAACTATATACTATTCCCTCCGTTTCTAATTTTAAATAGTATTAAGAATTTTTTTGTTCCAAAATATAGATAATTTTCTCACATCTAGGTAACTTTTACATGTACTAGATATAATGTGACCAATCAAATCATGTCTATTTTTCATAATTTGTATTTTTTAATTAAATACTATGTTCTAGAAAATAACAATTTTCTTAATATTAATGCTTTTATTTTAAACTATTGTGATATGGAAGAAGTAATACTGTATGTAAAACATTTAGAAAAATCTCAGTGACAAAAACAAAACTTAATTTATCGTATTTTGTTAATTTTTAGTAAAATCTTTAAAACTCTGAAAATAAGAAGGAAAAAAACAACAAAACATGCCATTTGAGTTTTAATTCAAATTAGCATTATTTTCTTACATCTTTCAACAAAACATGAACACTATTATCATACAACTTTAAGTAAATAAGTATTTTTTGTATTTAATTTGATTAGTTCGGAACTTATGAATTTGTGTGGTTCTAAACATGTTATCATTTAAGAATAAATGTTTTTCCGGAAGAATTAATATATATAAAACTATTCATACAATAAGATTGTATTCTTTAAATACATTATTGTTTTTTAATAGTTTTACCTCCCACAATTTTGTTAAAGTTTTAGCGTAAAATAGACACAACAAAATAATTAAACATATTAAATATTTATTCATTTTTTAAAAAAATTCTTTATAACGTATTTACCCATCCGAAGAACGGATTTTATCCTACTAGTTAAAAACTTCTCTTTATTTGTTGTCAAGACCCAAAACTCCAAGAGCATTACTAACAGTGAGCTACATAGTCCTCTGCCATAATTCGTATTTATTACGCTATTATTTTGTATGATGTAACCTCAACATCAGTCCGCTACATAATATGTTCACGTGCAAAAAGACGTATATGTATAACTGCCGTAAAAAGGCAATTTTGTCTCTGTAGTGTGGTGTCGTCGTGTATGGCCGACACTTGTAGGCTTGTAGCCAAAGTTTTACACGTAAACGTATCAATGCGTATACTGCATCTATACACGTATCTTTTTCAACTCTTTTGTTTGTATATGTTGTTTTCTTCGTCTGCTATGTTTACTTATATTTAGCATTCAGCCAAACTAGTGTTGTAATCCGTTCGCATTTCTATGGCCCTTGTTCTTTTATCTTTCGGATATTATATATGATCTTAACTCTATAGTAGGAAACTAGGAACAATATTAAATAATATTAAAACGAAAAGTTCTGAAAAGGTGCAACGAGACTTCTCGAAGAGGTGGAGCCGTTCCTAGAATTTAGGAGATCTGATAGCTAACAAGAACTTTTGTACTTTAACTTAGATTTCATCACAATCTCTCAACCCAAAACCCTAAGCGAAACCTTATCTCTTCCCTCATGGTTTTGTAAAAAAAAACATAGATTTTGCTAAGTGTGTGTTTAATAAACAGTCACTCTTTAGATTTTTATGGCAGAAAGCGAAACTGAAATAACTTAACAAAATCATAACCCGTTTTAATGATTGATAACAAATTTTTACATCTGTAAGAAGTATTATGTTTGTCCTTTATTATTAATTTAAATTATATTATTGACATTCAACCAAGTATTGGTAACTTAGTGAAAGACTTGGTGTATGGTGTAAACCTATTTGTCATAAATTTGATTCCTGCTAATAACAAAAGTTGTTGATATTTGGTCAGTTAATTTTGAATTGAAATTCGTTCCATCCAGTTTACATGGTAGTTCAATAACACACATTATCTTTACTCCTGACATTAGTCATATAACATTATAATTTGGATCATGCAGTGTGATATTCAATCTATTAAGTGCATCTTTTCATGATTGATCGGATCAGTCGATACTCGATAAGGCATGTAAAAAAATATTGACATTCATAGCAAAGACTCGATGTATCATTCATCCAAGTTTAAGTTCAGATGATATTCTTTATTGAACAAGAAATTAACATTCAGACATATATGCATGTTACAATGAGTGTTCATCCTCGACTATGTACCTTTTAATCGACTTGTTGTATGGCCCATTTTGAAATGTTGATTCTAATGGACCAAAAGCCGAACAATATTCATACATGATCCATTCAAATAATATTGGCTATCTAAAAGACTAAAACCAAACTTCACCTCGCAGGAGTACGGTTTCAGTATTCTTGGGTCTTGAGCGTTTCAACTTTCAAATAAACTTCTCCCTTGTTTCAACTTTAATCAAAAAATAAATCATAGGCAAAAACTTCAAAAACCTATTCTAATTAACGGCATTTGTGGTTAAAATAAGTTTAAATCACCGATGACAATGGAAAAACAAAGAAGTTAGTTCAAAAAAAAAAAAACAAACAAACAAGTTGAAACTGCACTCTTCCATTTCTTTGTCTGCCCTTTGGCTCTGTCTATTTATTATCTTATCCAATCATATTTGCTGGGTTCCCCCTCGGCCCTCGTTGCTTCTCCAATTATTGTTAGTCACGAACTCTTCCATTTCATTGACCAAAAAAGATGTATACAGTGGTGAAAGACACATGGAGGAGAATCTTGTGTCCATTTTCAATGCGTCTATTATTTGCTTACAACAAAGATTTGTTTCCCCTGTAATTTAGTTGAAAAAGTTGAATGGTTGTGAAACTAGTAAATCTTCTATCGAAGCTAGGCAAATAAATGTATAAATGATATGCAGATATAAGTATATTTGTGTGACACTGTGTTGCACAAAAGCTCTAACAAGTGCAATAAATTAGAACAAAAACATTTATTGTAAGATGTATATTAATACAAAAAACTAAAGATGAATAGGAGTATTGCATAATAGCCTGCATATGGGTTACACAAAAATATGTGAGCATCTTTGTAAACGAAGCTGTCGTTTGTTTTGTTTGTTTCGACGAGAGACAAAATCAGAAATTTTAATATATTTTATAAATGTTGTATTGTAAATATTGTAGAGTTATAGTGTTGAAAAGAAAACACAAATAGTAATAATGTGGACCACTTAATTCTTGTATATTCATAATATATATTTACAATATATCTATAAGCATTGTAACCTGAAATACCAGTTCTATCTTAAGCAATTTATTATCACTCCATCTCTCACTTTTATTTTTTGTTATAAAATTATATCCATTCTAAAACTGAAATAGTCAGTACCGTTGGCAAAGAAAATAGTCAGTATAAGATTAAAAAAGTTGTACGGTCAAACTCTCTAACCATATATATATAACCAATTTGTATAATGTTAGATAATTATCCTAATAAAAACTATAAATTTCACAGAACGGTTTCTATGTCTAACTTAATCATCTTGAACCGTTCTATAATATCTTACATCTGACATTATATTTTACGCCATGTTAAAAATATATTGTAAGTTTGTTTTCTATTAATTTATATAATTACATCTTTTCTGTGATTCGAAACTTAAATCTTTTGATATATAAAACATTAATAAATCTTAATTCAAACCACTGTATCTACTGACTTCCACATATAAAAGTAAAACATTTACTACAATATGTGAATTATATACATATAGGAGAATAATAACCATGTTTATCTATATTAAAACTCAAATAATAAATAATGGAATAAACTTTAGTGTGTTTACACCCAATGCAAATTTCAAAACTGCTTCCTTCAAAAAAAGGAAAAATTTCAAAACTGCAAATGCAAGTTGATATCACTTAGAGAACCCTGTTAATGATTCAAAATTTGTCAAAAAGGGATGATATCACTCCTCGTCATACAATTTTTTTTTGCCAACCTCCTCATCATACAGTATCAATACAAACACACAATACAAACAATTACTTTGTCTTTTACTTTAGAAGAAATAAGAAAATAAGTATAAAAACAATACTAATTTTTGGTCCTCTGAAACATAATTTTAAGTTACAAAATGTAGAAGGATAAGATGTGAGAAAGAAAAAAAGGAACATAAGTTTGTTTTATGAAGTTTACCCTAATTTCTCTATTCATTTTTCCTCAAAATGTTGCGTTAAAGACACCAAACTTGGTCCCAAGTATTACAAGGAACCTAACTTGTGAAGCTTTCGAAGAGATGTTTCTCTATCTATATCACACACACACACACAAAAACTATCTTTCTCTTTCAATGGTAACTTCTGCTAACTATTAAGGCAAGTTTCCATATTGTGCTCCTCTACTGATATCAATCACTGCTACAAATATCTCATATTTCCACAAGTTTTTACACATTTAGGTTCTCCTCAAACTTTAAAAAAAGTTAACCGAATCTATACTTTCACAAACCTACCCATTTCTTTTTTTCGTGTGATGTGAGAATTTTGGGTGATAGGAAGATGAAGACTATAAGTGGTTTAGGGATAGGTTTGAGTTTGGTGTGTGGGTTTCTTCTATTAGCACTTGTTGCAGAAGTCTATTACCTTCTGAGATGGAAGAAGAAGATCATAAGCCAAGAAAGTGAAGAAGAGAAAGAAGAAGAGAAACATGTTGGGTACGGTAAAGAACTTATCCAGCTCCTCTGCTTCAAACAGCCTCAATCTTTACATGCCAACAATGGCGGAAGAGAAGAAGAAGTCTCGAGGAATCAAGATTTAGAGCTCGGGCTGATGAAACACTTGGGTGGAGGAGATTTAGGGTTTGAAGCAGAGCTCATGAAGCTTCATAACCAGAGGCTTCTCTTCACAATCATCGAAGAGACAAAAGCAGATTTAGAATCTGATGATGGAGAATCAAGATCAAGAACAAGGAGCTTGAGTGATATTCAGCTTGGAGTAAATGACTGTAATACCCCTGGTTCTACTCCATTAGCTTCTCCTTTGGAGTGTTACTCAAGCCATGGACTCAATCCTCTGTTCGAAACAGAGGGTGAGCTTGAGTTTAACAAGTTTTTCAGGTCGGCTTCTTCTTCTTCTCCTCCGCCGAAATTCAAGTTCTTGAGGGATGCTGAAGAGAAGCTAAGGAGGAGATTGATGGAAGAAGCCAAAATTAGAGAACAAAAAGTGGCTGTAACAGAGGGTTCGTTTATGAAGTTTATGAATCCTTCTATGATGAACAGAGGGGAGAAACAGAGTAATCAAGAATCTTTGTCCCCTTCTTCAGGTACAAATCTTGGAATGTTAGACCAGAGATCCACACTGGTTGTTTAATATTTTTAGAGTTCTGTTCAGTAATTTTAACTTTATCTTTTTTTTTTGTTGAAATTTTTATAAGAATTTCAGTTTTAATTATGTGAATTATTTTTTCTTTATATCATTCTTATTTTTTGAGAATGATTTCTTCTGTATGTATCAATCTGAAAATTTGCAAATGCTTGTTTTAATTTCGTTTGAGAAAAAAAAAAATTAGGCTAGAAATTAGCTAGGGAATTTTGTATTGTATCCTCTTAACCAAAAAAAAACATTTATAATTTGTATAAAACCTTTTAGAAAATAACTTCAAATGAAACTGTGTTACGTTTGAAGCTGGGGTTAAAAATTCAAATCCTAGCGGCGCCACAAGTTTGAATTATTTAACCTCATTAAATTTTATATAATTAGTGCAAATGCTAACAAGCCCGCCAATTACGGCACAATGTAAAAACCTGCATAAAGTTTTTTTCACACACTTGAAATATTTTTAGGGAGGCGGACACACTTGTGATTAAGTACTTACTGATGCTAATGATACTACTGATGTAAAGTGCCATTAAAAATAACATTATATCACATTCAGACTAGCTACTTATACAAAAATGAAATAATAGTTTGTAAAGAAAAACAATACCTTTTGTGTTGTCTGGACTAGAAATATTCATGGCATCACGCGATGTATCGCCGAAAGGGTTTGATTTAATTTAAGTTGCCTTTTCCACATTTTCATTCAGGATTATACCTACATACAGGTGTTCGATTCCATTTGGAAGCAAACCAAAATATAAGATAAAAGAATCTCTTAAATTCAACTATGTGCGGTTACTGTATAAAATGTATCATTAACTAAAATTTAAACTTATAAAAATATTCAATTGAAATACTATACCTTTGGCATGAAAAAGGCTAAATCAGTATCATCATCTGAACCTGTAATAATTTCCATTTAAAGTGATTGTTTATTCCAAAAAGTGTTATTGGACCACGTAACTACTGATCAAATGTATTATTTGAATTAGGCAATGCGGCAAAGATACTATCAATGCTAACCATATTCATATGTATGAAACAAAAATAAAAATTACATTTTGTAAAAGTGCATATACAACATATATACTAATGCGTTCAGCAAAAGATACGTATAGTTCAAAAACAAAAAAAAAGAAAGAAAAAGATACGTATATACAGTGTAGATTCATACATATATGTACGTATTCTATGACAAATGTGAACATGGCGGCACGTGAAAGAACAAAACTCAAAGAGACGGGAAAAGGGCAGGGGTCCAAGAACACACGTCAACATCATGGAGCCAACTGTTGTTAATTTCAAAACTCGATTTGGACAGTGGAGCCCAACTTCACCAAAAATTCATAATGAACTATGTTTTGTTTGCTAATCCTTGAAAAAATTATATTGATATATTTGATACAACCATGAGTTGTAGTCCAACCAGAAAAATAAATCATTATAACAAATATATATCGTGTGTGATAGCATCTTCTAATGTTCTATCAGACTACAAGACTATAGTGCAGACAAACGACAACAAATAATGCAAAGATGCTAATTTCAACAACCAAACTTTAAAATACAACCAATACCAGTTCAAAACCATTGATGACAGTGATGAATCCTAAACTCCACCGTCGACACTTGGAGACAAAATTTTAACTCATCACAAGTTAACATTATCGTCCAATTTTCAAACAATCAAGACTATATATATATATATATATATATATAATTGTAGATTTCAGTTAAAAATCTAATTTAAATATTATGTAATCTCATCGTTAGTGTTTCGCAATTTCGAAGGACCAATTGTTACCGACAAACAAAAGATTATGACCATTTTTGAACTGCCATTAGTAGTTGTTTAAAAATCAAATTACTCTATGCTAGTAGGTATGAAAAGACAACCTAGCTAAACAATTGCAGTCTTGTGGTTTCGTCTTGATTCAGTTGGCTTGGCTTATATGGCCATTTTAAAAGACTCATCCATGATAGGCATTACCTCCTGCAGCATACCGTGGCTTTCCAGTTCTGTCTTTCACTTCTATGTCCTCCTTTCTTATTCAACTTTTATTGATGGTATTTTTTTATCAATCTTTTATTGATGATTAGAACTAAAAAAAGTAGTTTAGGTGGACTGCTGAAAAGAAAACATGCGGATCCTCTAGAGTCCGAGACCGAAACCGTTATAGTTGAATCACATGGTTACATCCTGACATCATTCTTGCTTATTTTGGTCTCTAGTATGGACTATTTCGGTGGTGTCAAAATACTCGGTTAGCAAAAAAAAAAATTTCTTAAGTTGATTTGTTTTGTAAGGCTGAACATAAATACTTGATACTCGGTTTGTACTCGCTACTTGACTCGATTTGATTTGAAAAAACAAGTACTTGATACAATGAAATCGAGTAACAAGTAAACAGATTTTATTTCGCAAGTATAAGTCAAGTATCAAGTTCATTATTTCTTTTTTACTACTTGGCTTGTTATTTGGTTTGTTACTTGTTATCATTTACTTGTCCTATTATATTTTATATATTATTTGATTTATTAATTAATACTTGATATCTATTTTAGTTAATTAAAATTTATGTAATACATTTTGTTGGTGACCATAATTACTCATTGTTTACCTCTTATTCGTTACTTGATGAATACATAATCTTTAAATATTAGTATTTGTTTTCACCAAGTTAAGTTTAAGTAATTTATTTAAACTATTTGTAAATACAAAATGAATATTAAATATTAAATAAAATTGATTACTTGATTTTGTTTTATTTCTTACTTGTGTTTGTTAATGAACAAAGATACATTTTCTTAAATCATAGTAAAATAAATCCTTTCTATTTTCATTTTCATAAGTACATTAAATATAAGTGTTATATTTATATATAAACATCTTGAAAATTTATCTTTCTTATATAGTTTATTTCCCGTATGACTTAAATACAAAAAAACAATGACATATTATTTATATAATAAATTTATTTAACTTTAAATTTTGTTGAATTAAAATAGTTTACCAATAATTATGAATGAATTTGTAAGTAATATACAAGTAACAAGCAATAAAATAAGCCAAGTGACTTACAAGTCTGTCAATTTTTTCTAAGTACTTGAAATTGCAAGTACTCGTTTTTAATAAACTAAATACAAGTCGAAATATTTACTACTTGTACAAGCCAAATTGAATACTAAGTATATCAAAATTACCTAGTACTCGCTTGTGCTCACCATGTTGTTTTGTAACAGAAAAAATGATTTGTTTTGGTTTCTTAACCAGCTTCATTTCGAACTGGCAGGCCCAAGAAAATACGCTAAATGGGCCAGGGTGCACATCGAAACTTTGCTTGAAACAAAATCTATATATATAAAGTATGGTTCCCTCTTTATAGAGACTGCCACGTCAGAAATTAATCTCCTAAAATTGTAACACCTGTCCCAGTTGTGAAACTCACCGTTTCATTTAATCAATTGCATGATG